GCAGCCTCCGCTCTCAGCACCGGTCCCCGGGAAGGCACGGGCTGCGCAAGCCGGGCTGGGCGTCGCCGGGTAGGATGTTACTTGGCGGCCCCGCCGATTCCCGGACCCGAGCCTGGGAGCCCCGGTACTCACAGCCATAATGCGGCCGGGATATGGCCAGCCCGTCCACCTCCTCCGCCGCCATGGCGCTGCGCTGGACCAGGGCCGGCCGGGACCAGGGCGCGGCCGTTCCTCTTCCTGTCGCACCGGGTGTGGCGGGGGCGGAGCCGCCGCACCGCGCTCGCTCCCTCTCTCCCCGCCCCGGCCGCCTCCGGCAGCCTCATCCGCTGCCGTGGCCGGGGTGAGAGCCTGCCCCGTCTCGGCCGCCCGCTCGCCCCTCCTGCCAGCCCTGTGGTTTCAGCCGGACTCAGCGACCGGCGCGGCCCAGTCCTGCTGGGACTTCGGTCCGCATCCTTCAGCCCTGCTGGGACTTCGGTCCGCCCACTCGCAGAGCACTGTGCTCCCGCGGGCGCCACCCTGCCTGCCTCGGGGTCCCCCTCACAGGGGACCAGACTTTGTCCCACTTGCAGCACCCTGAGATTTCCTGTCAGCCCTGCTGGCAACACTCAGCTAATCCCTGGCCTGCCAGCCCTGTTACATGGGATGCAGCCTAGGTCGAGCCAGCCAGCACTCCACAGCCACCAGGCCCAAAACTTCCAAGCCTTACACACGCAGCACTGCCCTGCAAGCCCCAGGGGATAGATACACTGCAGCCAGATAAAAATCAGCCGTGACAGTTATCCCACCCCATCCAGAAAGTGAGAATTTTATTTTCTCAAAAAAAAAAACAAAAAAAATACCACAGAATAGGTAGTCACAAATTTAACCGTAAGAATGCAGTTTAAAACCGAACAGAAGGAAATGTAATTCCGAAGATCAAAACAATAGACTCAAAAAGGAACTACATAAATTCACAAATGTTGATCAAAGACAACTAAATGCGTGAACCTAAATGAAAGCTCAGGAAGATCATGTCACTGATTAAGCAGCAATCCCTTTCCAAGCGTGCCTAATTTGTGTTCCCTATCCCTCAGTATTCTCAGCTGACCAATAACATACATACATGTAGGACACTGGGCTAAAGAGGCCTATGCTTTGATTCAGTTAACCTGGTTTTAGCAAGAATGCAAGTAATGATCCTGAAGGAAAACAAATTTTCCGATTAAGTCATGTTAAAAAGAGACAAAAAATTAACACAAGCAATGGATTATTAATAAATGATGCCAAAGATTTTGGAAGACTATAGCACACATCGTCTCCTGATTGAAACAAAGGGTTTATATTAAGCAGTTACAGTTCTTTTTTTTTTTTGCATTACTGTACATGTGACCACTTTGCAGTTACAATAATGCACTACAAACAATGTTTACATATAAACTATGGAGTGCAGAACTGTTTTTGTTCTTTTTTTCCCTAAAAATCCTATAATTGTTTTTACAGTCCACCAATGCTTCCTCAAAAAAAAATCTTACACTTACTGTTTCATTTTTCTTATCAGAATAGGTCTTAGAGAAAAGAGTATTTCACATAATTGCAGATTCTGCATAAACCGCTTCAGAGTTATATTTCAACAGTTCCTTATAATGGCTCCACCAATTTAAGATCTCTGGTCTTTGTTACTGTCTTCATTAACTGCAGTTTGTTAGCGTTTGTGTATCTGTGTGTTTGATCTATTGCCTCTCCTGTTGCTTGTCTTTTTTTTTTTTTTAAATGTTGAATATTTACTAGTCAGCCTTACAAACAGCATTACAGAGATACCTATTTTTTCCTTTTTTTTTTTTTGAAACTTTTTCAGTTTCAAAATTTCAGCTAGATTTTTTTTTTAAGTAGTACTTAGCCTTAATGCCTAGTCATTAGCTCTTCCCTGAGGAAATGAAGAGTTCCAAAATTCAGTCCCTTATTTAAACTACTATTATATGTTCTTTTGAAGGTGTTTATTTGTCACTTCCTTTACAAGATAGATGTCTGTAAATGGTGCTGGGAGAAAAAAAAAAAAAAGATTTTTTAGAAAACCTGAAGATTCTGAAGCTGCAATTCTATAGTCACTTCAAGACAACCTAGCTGCAGGCTATCACTGAAACAGAAGGTATCTCTAACCTACTCTGTCCTCCTCCAAACAGTATAGTATATACAATTATTCCACCCACCTGTGCAAAGTATTGTAAGGCCTTGCATTCCAAGAAAGACTGGGAAATAATAGCCTATTCAAACAGTTTTCCACTGAAGAATTTTTCAGACATATCCTAATTTCTAGCAAAATAAAGGCTGAAGAGGGAGTAGGATCTGCTCTATGTTCCATTTAGCACTAAGAATTCCAAGTCATCACTTACTCTCTTTGTAGTACACATGGAGCCGGCCCAGATTGCTGAAATAAAAATAACATCTAGTGCCACACCACATCTTAGCAGCCTTCATTCTGATGAATCTTCTCATCTTCATTAGTCATTTTTTCTTAACATTATTTTTTGCACCTCGTGTGTTTACAGACATATGTGACCTTTCCCTTTAGACCACTTTCATTCAAGATACATTTAAATCTTATCCTCTATACCTGTAATGAGGTTTAGGTCCGTATTCGTTTTTGTTGTCTTCTCTAATTACCCAGTTTAGCTACATTCTCTGTTCTTACAGGCCCAGAATGCCCTGCATGAATCTGATGGAATTGCCTCAAATGACCCAGTATATGTTTTAAACACACATGCATGTGTGTTATATACACACACACACTTAATTTGCACGTGCGTATATATGCATAAAATGCATGTATACAGCCGGAAGCTGCCTGGCACACAGCTGTAGATGCACACAGTCTGCAGGACTCCTCATGGAAGCCTGAGAGCAAGCAACAGACAAGGAGGAACCCTAACCCTGCCCAGTCCTGCTATAGTCAGGACATGCAGCTAACACACAGCCACAGGCTGATGAAATAGCAGAGGAGCACTTACTCTTTGGAGGAAGGTGAGCAATCTTTCCATTCACAGAAACCATCATGAAAACCTCTCTTTTTCCCTGTGACAGTGCAACATGGGCAAGCTGGCAAGAACACTTCTTGAACTGCAAACACTGTGTACTTGTTTCCAAGCACCAGGTACAATTTCTTTCACTTGAAGCATCTGTAAGGTCCAGGGAAGCCCCTCAGCTACCTAGAGAAAGGAAAACACTGGGCGATTCAAAATTTGTCTGTGGCACAGACATCCTCCCCTTCTTTTATTTTTTTTAACACCTTTTAATGTTGTTTTTTGTTTGTTTGTTTTGCCTGTACTTGTTCTCATGTAGCCTACCTACAAAGGCACTTTGAGAACCAATAAAGTAATTTAAGTCTTAACCAGACCACTATATTTAGCTGAACTCAAACCCGTACCTCTCACCATCAAATAAGAAATTCCAATGACAAAAAAGCTGCCATATCTCTATTTGAAATGCTTTCATAATTAATTCTAGCTTTACTTTTAGTATGACTCACTTCCAACAAATCACTAACTTTACCTTCCCAAAAATTAGCTTCCCCCCACCCATAACTGCAATAAGCAAACGTTCCCTCTGCAGAGGGAAATGTTACACCATTTCCTTCTGCCTTGTTCTCAAGAAAGACACCTGACAGTCTCACTTTTTGTGACAGAATGCTACTATAACCTTGATTTATAGGTATAGAAGACTATTATGTTCAGATTCAAGAGTTCCCTATCAGATTAAATTAGTACGTATTTACATAAATAAAAGCACCATGTTATTAGCAATGTACAATATACCACTAAGTTATATATTCGGCATTTACAGGCAAAGCATTCTAGGGTCAAATATTGAGCCATCACTCTCCACATATTTAACTATATATCATCTGAGTATAACATGATTAGCTTTATAGTCAGTTAACAATCGTATTTCAATTTAGTGTTAATCATAAGCCATCTGTTAGCACAGAACTTTGAGTCAGAAGCATGGGATTGAACCACAGCCTCTAACGAATACGGAAGGACTGTGACTGCTTTCAGCACCACAAGACTGAAGCTAACAGTGCTAACCCTCAAATACAGCTTCCTAAAAGCAGGAGTATCACGTAGTTTTCCTGGCACAACTGCACACTGTGACATTTATGTCAATGATGAACAATTGCCTAGCCAAACTCCAGTCTTTGTTCAGCCAACAGAAGCTTCGTCAATATAAAGAGAATGGTTTGATTGCATTGATATACAATAGAACAATACTGTTGGAGCTCCCAGTATACTGCAAATATAGCTATAGGAAAATAAATGCATACATGTCAGAGAGGGTATTAAGAGACAATTTTATTTAGATAGTTAGGCTACGTACTTGAACGTTTTTCTTCCCTGTAGGAACATAACACAAGAACTTTCTCCTACAAAACAGAGCACACTACAACAAACTGATCATGAACCAAACACACTTGGTCAGTAAAGTTATTTATCTGTTGCAAATAATAAACGTTATGCTTAACGCTACTTTCTACTGAATGAAGACATAATGAGTAAAAATGCACAGGAAGAAAAGCAATTCGGTTGTCCCTCAAGTTTCTTCTTCTCTAAGTTGAGGAAACCAAGTGACCTCCGCCGCTCCTCGCACATCTTCCTCTCCAGCCCCATCGTCACCTCAGTTGCCCACCTGCAGAGACTAATAGTTTTACGCCCTCCTTATACTGTGACACCCACAACTGTATACAGTACTTGAGGTGAGACCAACATATAACAGGTAAGACCAAGGTCAAACTAATGTGCATAGAACAATGCCACACATCCTAAGAAAACAATAAAGAAACTAACAAGAAATGCCAAAAACAAAGACGAGAAAACAGCCTAGAAGGTTGCGAGCTCGCTGCTGTTCTGGAAGGGCCCTTCTGGACCACCACTTGCCACCACAACCACCCGAGTCACTCAGCCGTCCTCCTGCGGCCACGCCAAAGCGCCCCAGGAGCGGAGAGGAGGGCACCGGACTAGCCCGGCCCGGCCAGCTGCTCCCGGGGACTCTTCCGGAAAGCCGGCGCGCTCGCCCATCCTCCCGTTACTTCCCGGGCCCGGCGGGGAGCCGCCCGCGGAGCGCGCCCTGCCACCGGGCCGCGCGAGGCCAGCGCCGGCCTCCGCCGCTCCCCGGGGACGAGGCGCCGCCCGCGAGCCCTCCGGCGGCCGCGGCGCAGACGCGCCCTTCCCGGCAGCCCTCGCGCCCCTCCCGGCGGCCCGCGCGGCGGCGCGCAGCGGGATGATCCACGAGCTGCTGCTGGCGCTGAGCGGGTACCCGGGGGCGGCCTTCACCTGGAGCAAGCGCGGCGGCCTGCAGGTACGGCGGGGCCCGGCCGGCCCGCGCCCGCCCCCGCGCCCGCCCCCGCGCCCGCCCTCATCGCTGTCATTCCCCGCAGGTGTCCCAGGAACTGCCGTTCTTGCACCCCAGCGAGACGAGCGTCCTGAACCGGCTCTGCCGCCTCGGCACCGACTACATCCGCTTCGCCGAGTTCGTGGAGCAGTACACCGGGCACGTACAGCAGCAGGTGGGGCCGCCTGGCCGCTGTTTTCCCGGGGCGGGGCGGGGCGGGGCAGAGCTGAGCGGGCGCCGCTGCGCCCGAACCGCGCCGGGCACGGATGCGCCGCGGCGCCGGCCGGCGCTCGCCCCAGCGACCGTGCTGCCTCCAACGGGGCGCCGCAAGGCTCCGCGCGGTGAAAGTGAAGGAGGGTCCGCGACAACCCGTGTGGAAAGGTGGGCGGAATGTACAAATCTCGGTCCTGGGGAAACGTAACGCGGCAATTCGCGATCGCTGCAGATTCTCCAGGGTTTGTGGCGACCCTTGCGTGCATACGCAGAAGAGCTAAATGCAACTCTGCTGTTTCTTCTCTGGGCGCTTTCTGGGGGGTCGAGGTGCATTTCAAGGTGCTGCGATCATTGGATGCTGGTGTAAAGCTGCACAGAAATTCCATCACTCCTTAGACCTGCACTGAGGAGCTGATGTAGATTTTATTGTTTGCTTTTAGGACCATCATGTATCTCAGCAAAACCAGGGTGGATTACATGGGATTTATTTGCGAGCTTTCTGCACGGGTCTTGATTCAGTATTGCAGCCGTATCGACAGGCACTACTTGACCTTGAACAAGAGGTAAAGGAGAGAAAGTTGGAACAAGAGGCTGTCCTGCTGCTGACAGATCGTGAAAACTTGTCATTTCTGCAATTAATGGGCTATGTGGTAGGAGTTAAAGAGGCGACAAGATAGTTTTCTTTCCCCTTTAGGAATGGCTTCCAAATTATTCCTGTGAGGTGCCATTATAAATGACTGTTCATTCTAATAAGTAGTCAGTCCCTTTTTATACACAGTTCAGTAAGTGCCTCAACAGCCTCAGAGCCCATTGCTGTCTCAGACTATTGTGACTTCTGTTTTCAGTTGTGAGGGTTCTGATTAAACCCTTGGTGGCTTTGTAGCTGTTACACCTTGTGTACAGTCATTGTGCAGTGGTTTCATTAAAAGTTACAGCCTAAATGGGACATGACGCAAAAAAGCGGGGGGGAGGAGGAGGGAAAGCTGTCGGAACCAAGGGTATGGAATATAGAATCAAACCTGCTTTTTTACTTATCTATAACTTATTTTAATTTTCATTAATTGCTTTGTTCTTACAGTTTTTGGCTGACCCGCATCTTTCCATCTCACATGTTAATTATTCCTTGGACCAGGTATGTCATGTTAATAAACACGTAGTATTCTTCGGTTACTCTTTCCGCTCTGTGATATGTCTAATGAGAACATGGGTGGGATAAACAAAGTTTATTCTTTCATGTCATGTCACTTCTCTTAAATGCCTCCAAATTTGTAGTCCCCTGATCATGTTTAGAGGATTACTTGCACTGTAACACATATCTTAGGTTTTTCACTTTTACCCTTGCATATTCCTTGCTGCTTGTGCTTAGTCTGAACTGCAGCTGGAATGCAGTAACTTAGTGCATCTTGATCCAGGCGAGGGAGTGTATTCTTTCCAGTGATTTTCAGGTCACAGAATGGTTTCCGATTTGTGGGGAAAGCATGATGATGGCTTGGTTAAATTACTGTAATCAGGTGCTGTCCGCACTTACCCAATCACAATTTCTCTCTCCCTTGCATAGCAAACTAATTCAACATTTTGTTCCTTGTTCTGCAGTTTCAGTTACTCTTCCCATCTGTAATGGTCGTGGTGGAACAGATCAAGACTCAGAAGGTACAGCAAAATTGTAGCTAGTCTCTCTTAACAAGTTTCTTCTTTAGCTGATAAAAGTATCTTCTGACCTCACACCACAATAGAATGCTAGGAAAGAATCTGGTTTCAGTAATGGGTGCCCCATTCCTAGTACTACTGTAAGTATTGAACGTTTCACAAATCCATTTAGACTCAATTTAATTCTCTTTTCTGTTTCATTATTAGTAAGATCTCTGACAGATATTCTAATCACAGCACATTTCAAAGTACAAGATGCTGCTAACTGGACTTTCTTCTTTTCTGAGCCTGTTTTCTCTCCCACCCTCACCAGAGTTTAATAAATAAAATAAAATAAAAGGCGGAGGCTAATGTTTTCAGAGTTACGAGATGCTTATTTTTTTTGTTAAGGGAATCTTTTGAGAAAAAACTTGGGTGTGCAGCCTCACACAGGCTCACAAAGGTCATCACCTCTTTTTTCACTATATAGAGTATGTTTCATCTCTTTCTGCCAGACTTGTGCAGAAAATGCTTTTTCTAAATGCTTTTTCTTTCTGCAGATTCATGGATGTCAGATACTGGAAACCGTCCACAAACATAGCTGTGGGGGGTTGCCTCCTGTTCGCAGTGCTCTTGAAAAGTATGTAGATGCAATAAAACTTCTTAAGTAGTAACTGGAGTTAGTGTCAATGTGTTATCTTTCTTGTAAAAGCAGATAATACTTCTCAAAATAGGACTGCATGATCTAGAAATAGGAGTAGCATGCAGGGCAAATTGTCACAGTCCCTGTTACCTATCTAAAGCAGGTTAATGGCAGGAACACTCCATACTTTCTATTTTTGGATGTCTTGCTGAGGTATCAGTGCTGAGGAAAGTTCAGATCCTATGTTTATTCTTCTTTTGAAATCTACATGAAATGTTTTTGATGTAGCAGACCTATTACTCTTTTTTTCCATCCTTCAGGAAGATGTATTTCACTGGGTGGATGTTGCTATGTTTTTGTGTCTTTGGTGAGAAAGTCAGGCCATTGGCTCTTAAAGGATAATTATTTTCAGTGTTCACGCTGAAATAGTAATAGAGTAGAAACAGCAGAACTGGGAAGCCACTGTAAACTTCCTTATACTTCATTATAATCAAGCAATCAAGCATTTCTTTCTACAGAAGCCACATATTCACAGGATATATTTGCTGCTTTGTTTTTTGGTTTTTTTTTGAGTGATCAGTTCATCTTTCTCTGATTAAAAAAATTAAAAAAAAAAAAAATCTGTATTAGATATTTAACTAACTGGACTTACCAGAATGAGGTACATTGAAGTTTTGATTAGTGCATGCAGAAACTCACTGTCTTATTTCTCTTGATCTCAGGATTCTGGCTGTGTGTCATGGAGTCATGTATAAGCAGCTATCTGCCTGGATGCTACATGGATTGCTACTAGACCAACATGAAGAGTTCTTTATCAAACAGGGTCCCTCTTCTGGAAATGTCCCTGGCCAACCTGAAGATGATGATGATGACCTAGGAATTGGGGGACTTACAGGAAAACAGCTACGAGAGCTGCAGGACTTGGTAAGGCTGCAAGTCATGGCTTGGCACCTTTGTTCCGTAGGTAACTAAAGAGGAAACGTATTACCTTGTTTCAGTGCAAACTATGCTGGACTTGTCATTATTGCGACCTGGTGTACTGGGTCTGGCAGAGATGCAGTTCACTTTCCCCACGAAACAGCACTGATATTACACCAGTGTTTTGGCAGTTGCTAAACAGTGCTAGCACAGCATCAACACTCTCTCCAACCCCCTCAAAGCCAGGAGGCTAGGGGTGGGCAAGAGGTGTGGGGAGGAGACATTGCCAGGGCAGATGACCTAAACTGACCAAAGGCATATTCCATACCATATGACTTCACACTTGGCAATAAAAGCTGTGGAAGGGGAAAGAGAAGGGGGGTAGGGGGAGTCTTGTTAGGAAAACATCTGTCCTCCTGAAAAACTGCGATGCATATTGAGGCCCTATTTTACAAAACATGGCCAAACGTTGCTTGATGATGGGATATTAAGAATAATTGTTTTCTCTTCATTTCAGTGTAACCTTTTTTTTAATTTATTTTTTTTTATTATTTTATTCGTTTATTTTTCTTTTCCCTCTTTTTTTCCCCTTAATTAAATTGTCCTTATCTCAACCTGTGTGCCTTTTTAATTCCTTTTTCCCCCCTCTTCCTATTAGGAAGGGAGTGAGAGAGCAGTGTGGTGGAATTCAGCTGCCCATAAGGGTGAAACCACCACAGCTGGTAGGATGGCAGATCAACAGAATATTGTCATAGGTTGCAGCTAGGCATAAAGAAGACAGACATACTGGTGGGCATAGCTAGATAACCTTGAGGCACAAAGCCGTATTGATAGAATCTGTGTAGATGCTGGTGTCAAGTAATTTCAAGTGTGGTACTCACCCTGCTCGACTCTTTTCTGATTCCTTAGTCAACTCTTTGATTTTCTCAACCTGGACATAGATGATAGCATGAACAATTGCAGGGGAAAGAGTGTAAGAAGCTTCGGTGTAGTTTGTTTGCACCCTTTCTGGTGGTAGCTGGCTCAGGTACTTATTTTGCACAGCCATTGGTGCAAATCAGAGTGGAAATGTTACTTAACAGGGTAATGCCATTGACACTACTGGGGAAAAAATTGCTAAGGAATAGTCAAGAGACTGCTAACATGTCCAGGGTGCTAAGTTAAGCAAGGGGACAGCCTGCCAGAATACTGGTGAAATGCATTAACTCCTCATGTAGATGGCATACCATTAAATTGCTCTTGTGCAAAGCAGATTTCCCAATGGAGTGATCTTCCATGCTTTATGCGTCTGAATATTTTTCACATCAGGTGCTAGTGAGGAACCACTCTGTAAATTCACATTCTCTAATTTTCTATGAGAAAACATTTAATAGGCATCAATGGTGTTAGTTTGTTGCATGTAACTCCAGCTGTGAATGCATAAAAGATTCATCCCCATTACAACCTGCCTTGCGTAATTATTAAGTGCCTTGTATAAACAGTCTTTGCTGAGGAAAGACTATACACAGTCATAAACAAGGAAAAACTTCAGAAGACGACAGAGAATCAGTCATTTTGCTGTATTGGATGTATGATCTATGTGAAAATTGGTAAGTCTTCTAGATCCCTGGTGGCAAATGTAGGCACATCAAGAAGATAACAAGAGAGCCTAACTAAATCTCTTGTTCAGTATTATTGACTATTGATGTTGGCTGTTCTGCTGTCACATAGTAAAATAATAAACCCTTGGTGCTGATGGGATAGACCAATTCAAAATTCTTGGGTATTTCCTCATCTAAAAGTGTCAGAAGAATCTTAAGAATTGCCAAGCTGTTAACGTCCATATGCAAACTCATACTGAACTCTCCTGTTAAAATGAAGAATTAATTCCCAAAACAAACATTCTCAAAAATTTGGTACAATAGTGTTTTTTGATTATGGTCTAACGAACCTAATTCTCCAATAACAAGAAAACCAGATGAAATAATCCGTATTGCTATGATTGCTTCTCTGAAAGAAAATATAGCATCACTACCTGGAGTTCTAATATTTACTTATACCTTCAGGAGGAAGTTAATAACATACTGTGTCTTTGAAAAACGTTTTGCAGGAAATAATTGAGAAAATTCATATACGCAAGCCTTCAGATCCTTAAGCTGTCTGTTCACTAGTGGAGGTATTTGTGTTTGTGCATCTGTACCACAAATGTTCTAGTTGTGCTAAAACATGGGAATAGGGATAAATAGGATTATTTTTGCTAATGCTAATTAGCATTGTTACGGCAGCGAAAAACTAATGTGATGCACTTGCAAGAATAATTCATTTTGCTGTTGTGGCATTATCCTTTGGGAGAGCCAATTTACTGCTGTTCAACAAAGGCTGCACTTCATTTTTCCCCACTACCCCCCTTTCTGATGAAAACATCTTCTGTAGAGAGATCTGCTAGTATGCCAGAAGTATCAAGAAGTTTACAGCCTTATTGAAATTAGGCAGACCAGATCTGCTACTTTTCTGGTTGCTTTTAACGTACTCTGTTTAATTTTCAAAAATTTTAAGCCTGTTTTTCTCAACCTTTTGTTTCTTTTGCCTCGTGCTCTCTATCTTTTCCCTGGGGTCTCTGACAGCGCTTGATTGAGGAGGAGAACATGTTAGCTCCATCTCTAAAACAGTTTTCTCTGCGAGTAGAAATGCTGCCATCATACATTCCTGTGCGGGTTGCTGAGAAAATCTTGTTTGTAGGAGAATCTGTACAGATGTTTGAGAATCAAAATGTTAACCTGACCAGAAAAGGTGAGAAACCTCTTTCTTGTTTTCTTTGTTCACCTGTGAATGACTGACGAGTATCTTCCAAAATGTTTTATGAATGAATTCCTTAACAGTTGCTGATGATCAGCTGATATTCTTCAGAAAGTACGGATGTCCGTGCCAGGTCAGAGCAGTGGTCTCAGTGTTCTGCTTCAAAGTGCTAGGGAAGGATGTAAGGAATGAATGAAAAAAAACACTCTCCAAACATCAGTTCCAAGTTCCCAGCAACAACTCACCATGTGCTTTACTCTGAATAAGTACAGATATTGTAAATGTCATGTTGCTTTTTCAGTTTGTATCCTTGTCCCTGAAGGGTGCAAACAGGCACAGGAGCACATCTGGCTCTGAGTATGTATGTTGCAGGATGTGTCAAAGACTCGTAGAATCATTAGCATTGGAAAAGATTCTATGACTCTCTGATCGGCCAGAGGGTAGGAAGGCCCTGCAGAGGAACCTGGACAGGCAGGATCGATGGACAGAGGCCAATGGGATGAGTCTCAACACGGCGAAGTGCCAGATCCTGCAGTTTGGTCACAACAACCCCATGTAGCACTACAGGCTTGGGGCAAAGTGGCTGGAAAGCTGTGCAGAGGGAAAGGATTTGGGGACATTGGTCAAGCTCACCGGAACATGAGCCAGTAGTGTGCCCAGGTGGCCAAGAAAGCCAATGGCATCCTGGCTTGTATCAGGAATAGTGCAGCCAGCAGGGCCAGGGAGGTGGAAGGGGTCTGCAGTTTTCCAAATGGTATTCCTTAGTATTGTCCAAAACACTTTTTTCTTACTTGCACAGGCTCCATCCTAAAAAACCAGGAGGACACTTTTGCAGCAGAACTACACCGACTCAAGCAGCAACCACTCTTTAGTTTGGTGGACTTTGAATCTGTGGTTGACTGGATACGGAGCACTGTTGCTGAGGTAAGGATCCCAGGAAGGATAACTATACAGGCTGGGAAGCTTTAGAGTTTTGTGAATGACCAGAGGAAGGGAAGAACTTTACAATCAGTGATAAAACAGGAGTGTGGAGGCTGCAGGTAGCTTTCAGGTTCCTATGGGACTCAGAGTGTTGTGTTACTCCAAATTCTAATGATAAAAGGACACTAACAAGTACCAGTCATTTGCATGGAGAAAAGCAGGGAATTTGTACGTAACGGTTGTTTTACTCATGAAGACTTTTCATGCCATGCTTTTGATGTAACAGTTGGCCTTTTACTTAGACAAATGCTTTGCATTGGTGCTTTTTTTTTTTTTTTAATTTGGAAAAATACCAAAAACTGGAGAAGGTGGGGAGCTTAGAAAAGCAAGAATATAACTAGGATGGGAATGAATTCATAAGACTTCACTTATTTTTTGACCTGAGGCTTCATGTTTTTTGCTGGTATGCATCAGCAGTGTTCTAATTAGTAGCATGGGTTGACTTCACAGTGTGTTCTTGTATTTTATATGGGTGCTTTTTTGTGTGAATCTCAAGTATTTTAAGACAGCTACTGATCTTAGTTAATGGGTTTAGATAAATCTGAGAAGTGGTTACTTGTGTTTTGTTTGTTTCTTCGCTAGCATCTTTGGAAACTGATGGTGGAGGAATCTGATTTACTAGGACAACTGAAGGTAATACCAATTCTAGCTTGCTCTTGCTAAAGCAGCTTAAAATTAGTGCTGTAGGGTTTTTTTTGTTGTTGTTTTTTATGGCTATTCCCCCAGTAAATTCTTTACCATCTTAGGTTCTGCATTTTTTTATTTTAGGTAAAGCTATTTTCATTTTCCAGATCTCAAGAATGAGTGCGGTGATAGAACTTGGTCAGACAGAGTTAGAGGGCTTTGTGGTTTGCCTCTTGAAGCAAGGCCTTGTAAACCTTTTGGGCAGTGGATGAATTTCAGAGCTCTCCAGCTGTTTTGAAATGGCAGAAGTTGTCTAGTAATAAGTGTTATCAGTTAGGACACCTAGTATTTCTGTTAGGTTTTTGATATGCTTATATACAAAAACTTATCTCCACAGATTATAAAAGACTTTTATCTTCTGGGAAGAGGTGAGCTGTTTCAGGCTTTCATTGACACTGCACAGCACATGTTAAAAACACCACCTACGGCTGTAACTGAACATGGTGAGTGCTGCTTATTCACGTACAAACTGTCCTCTCTATGGTATAGTAGGCAGATGGTTAGCTATGTCCAATACAGAAGAGCTCCCCATCTTATCCTCTAAATGTCTTCATTAGCTTTGAAAGAGCAGCACTTTTGAATTAAATTGTCCCACAGAGAGAGTAAAGAAAACATCTTTTAGAAACTTTCAGATGGCAGGTTTCTCTCCATATCTGTGAGTGGAACTAAATGAAAAGGGTATAAATAGTGCATCGCTGTTGTCTTTTATGTCCCTGCATAAATAATGAATGAATGCAAAATTAACACTAGCTGCAATGTCATGAGTATTTGGTATCTGTGCTCTCTCTCTGTCAGATGTCAATGTTGCATTTCAGCAGTCTGCTCATAAAGTACTGTTAGATGACGACAACCTTCTCCCTCTGCTTCACTTGACCATTGAGTATCATGGAAAGGAGCATAAAGGTACCTACTTGCATGTTTAGTAATGAGTAAAGAAGAAACATGATGATCTTGTTTTCAAGCCTATTAATTAGCCTTCTTTGGAGTTATAAATAAATAAATAAATCTGTTCCCTTCACAGCCCTCTGTGATGGCCTAGCTTGCTTTTGCTCTTCTCATTCTGTTCTCTCCCCTTTTTGTCCTTCTGTGGGCTGCCTTGATGGAGAGGAAGACTTAATTCAGTACCATATTTGTTTTCAGATACTCCTCAGGCTCGTGAAGGGCCTACCCGAGAGTTATCTCCACGTGAAGCCCCTGCATCTGGCTGGGCAGCTCTGGGTCTTTCTTACAAAGTACAGTGGCCGCTGCACATTCTCTTTACTCCTGCTGTTTTGGAGAAGTAAGTACTAGGTGTGGTCTTTGTCTATGTCTGTAGGCTCCCTGATCTCAGACACTCATTTTTTCCCCCTTCTCCTGAGAGAAAGGTAGATCTATAACACTGTAACTTGCTCCCTGAAACTTAAAATTACTCTTTCCACTTAGTCATATTGAAGGTACAATTGTTGCTAGTGACAGTAAGATCCTGGCAGATCTGTCAACAAAATAGATCTGTCAAACTTTGACAGCTTTTCTCTGCTTATGGTGAAATTACTTTTTAGGTTAATAACCAATACAAGTAGAAACCCGTTACTCTGAGACGGGCCATTTCCTGACCTACCCTATTGGCAAACAATCACATCCCATTTCTTTTTCCAATCTTGCACTGTTATCTTCTCCAGTACCTGTACCCAAGGAAGAGTTCCCTCTTCAACAACTTTGTATTTTTTGAATGTAGGTACAATGTTGTGTTCAAATACCTGCTAAGCGTGCGACGGGTCCAGGCTGAGCTACAACACTGCTGGGCTCTCCAGATGCAACGCAAACACCTGAAATCTAACAGAACTGATGCCATCAAGTGGCGTCTGAGGGACCACATGGCTTTCCTTGTGGACAATCTTCAGTATTATCTGCAGGTCAGGATTATACAGAATATTAAACCCGTATCAGTTAATCAGAAACTGGCAGAAACTCATGGTGGGAGCACTGAAGTCCTAAGCTAAAACTTATGAGTTCCCAGATTCAGTGCTACAATTAATAGTTGTTTTTTTTAGGTTGTTTGAATAAGTAGAGATTTTGAGTGTTAATGGAAATGCAAATGTTACGGCTCTCAAGTGCTACTAAGCATTTGTGAGAGGCCCCACTCATCCCTGAAGTTGCATCATTAAGGTACCATCCTATCTTCTTCCCTTGCCCTGTTAACTGAGCTCTAATTTAAGTTTATTTTTATCTAAGAATTGAAAGAAGCTGTACTCTTGACCTTTTGAAGTTAAAAAGAGATGTTTCAAATCTAAACACTAGTTAGTAGCAGCATAATTTTGTGAGAATCAATTTAATAGCAACAACAGCTGAATTGAGGGGGCTCGACTTCCTAGATTCTACAATAACCTGGCTGAGCTGTTGCACTGCAGCCTTTGCCCTGAGCCTCCAGATAGCATCTCCCAGTGTTCCAATTCAGAAATGAAGACAAATACCTTTGTTTATGCATTAGCTGTACATTTTTTCACTAGTTAATCTTAAAGAAAGTGACCAATTTCTTTTCTACTTAGGTAATACTTAAGCATCTATTCCCCCTCCCTTATATTATTGTACTATTGTGGTATATAGGTCTCCATTCTGGGGGCAGAGAGAAGGTGATGCTCAGCCTCTTAATCTAGGAGTAGCAATAGGGAGAGTAAGTTTCTTAAAACTTTTAGCTGGTCTGAGGTACTCCTTATTCCTCATAAAGGAAGATACTAATGAGATTTTTTTACATATCCATCAGGTGGATGTACTGGAATCTCAGTTCTCACAGCTTCTCCAACAGATAAATGCCACACGAGATTTTGAGAGTATTAGACTGGCTCATGATCATTTCTTAAGCAATCTGTTGGCTCAGTCTTTCATCCTCCTAAAGCCTGTAAGTAGATTTTCACTTCTTTTCTATGAGTTCTCCAATTGCCCCAGGAAGTAGCTTTGCAAACAGATCAGACAAACAGTCTCTTCAAAAAACAGATCAGTGGTAATCTCCTGCAGAGTATAGACTGAATTCTAAGAATAAAGCAGGTATAAACTAGCAGAGATAAGTTAATTAAGATCACTTAAGTTACAGTTGGTGGGAGTGGTGAACAATTTGCCTTAGCTTGAAAAACAAAAAATGTTGCTGTGTTTTTCTCTTGGGCAATGGCATTGAAGAGGTACCAATTAGCATAGTGCTGGGAGCTGTATTCCTGAGGGACTCATAGAGAAATGCATTAGCTAGGGAAAAAAAATCCCGTCTCAAACTTTAGGAGGATAAAATATTCGAGATGTTCCACAGTGGACTTCAAGAATGGTCTTGTATTGTTACTCTAGTCAAAAGTATATTAAAATGTTGCTTCTGTTTTTATTAAATACGTAGCCTCACAGAAAACATCTAGAAAGATAGTTGGTGCCAATGAGACTCCGTGATATCCTGGGTCTTGTCTCTTTCATTATTTTGCTCAGTGTTTCAGGTGGTAACATACTAAATTTTCCAGTCTGGAACTTACAAATATTCCAGAAGTCATGCATGTGAGGTGTTTAGGCTTTTTGTTAACATTTTTGAATGCAAATTACCTTGCCCAATAGACATAAGACATTCCAAGTTCAGCAAACAGTAGAACTAAGCCCTTGAACTGTATCTCTTGCTGTTCTTTAGTCTTATTCTCAACCTTGAAGCTGCAGTGGTGGCCTGCTGGTTGGATAGGATAGCCAATGATCAACTTCTGGGCCTATGTTGATGGCTGGTAGACTGATGCCAATGACTGTTTCCCCAGTGATGTCTGCAAAACATGGTTGTTTTGGGGGTACAGGACAACGGGAGAAGATGTAGTGCATTGTGCAAGTCTTACTTCATTCAGGAAAAAGGCCTTAAAATGCTACAGCTGCTTTATCATCTTCCTTACTGATTGTTTAAAAACACGGTATTAGTAACATCTTAAGTTATGAACGCTGCAACTTCTTAGATACTAAAAATGTTCTCTGAGGCAGACTGCATTTAACTGCTGTCTTGTACTTCTTATTCCACACAGGTTTTTCACTGCTTAAATGAAATTCTAGATCTTTGTCATAGTTTTTGTTCTCTGGTGAGTCAGAATCTGGGCCCATTAGATGAGCGGGGAGCTGCACAACTCAGTATTCTGGTGAAGGTGAATCTATATTTATATGTACGTGTTTGTCTCCTATGCAAGCATCTGGCTAAATAGTCATCTTGGCTTTAAACTTACTTTTGTTCTACAGCCGTTAAGCTGAGATGAGACTTTCTGAATGAGTGCAATAACTTTAATTAATCAATAACTCCTGGGTAGAAAAACTACATATGCACAGAAGGGAAGAATGTGGGCAGTTATGCAGAAATCACTCTATTGAGTAGAAAGGAGGTGTACATCAGATTGTACCTTTCTCCCTCCTTTTGGATACCCAACACCTAATAATTCTTGTGGCTGACAACTTACCTTATAGTGGACTGCAAGCATCAGTTCTTCTGCAGTGATTCTCTTCTTCATGCTGTTAAATGTGTAGGCAGGACAAAGAGCCTTCCTCAGCATGCCTTGAAATGACTTCCTGTAATTTGTAGGGATTCAGTCGTCAGTCATCACTGCTCTTCAAGATTCTCTCTAGTGTTCGAAACCACCAGATAAACTCTGACCTAGCTCAACTGCTACTACGCTTGGATTATAACAAATACTACACCCAGGCTGGAGGAACCTTGGGCAGGTAGGAGTATTTTCAGGAATGCTCACAGCATTATTATGAGACACCTGAAACACAAAGTGATCTAAATGATCATTAAGATATTTTTATCAGTTAAGCTATAATTATTAGAAGCAAAACATTGCTAATACCCATGACAGAAAAGTAACAGAGCCAGAATGATTTAACTTACAGTTTCCATGTGCTTTTTTCGCCCTGCAGAATTTTACCTGCTATTTAATGTTGGCTGAAAAACGGTGATGTGGGTTGTTGGTAGAGGGAGCTCCTTTCAATGTAGCTAATACAGTATCCTTCTCTTGCAGTTTTGGAGTTTGAACACCAAGACCTTTTCTTCAGACTGTGACCAACAGCATGACAAGCAGTGATGCCTCTGGTGCTCTTGGAATTTTTTCCTTGTAGTTGGTACTTGCCTGATGAACCACTGTTTAAGTGGCACTTCCTGCCAATTCTGTACAATTGCCTATTGAGTGCAGAAAGCTTTTTCTTTTACTCTGACCTAGTAGAACCATGCTTTCTGCAGCTCAGCATCTACTCATAAATGCTTCTAGGGAAGCAGTCTGTGCTTCTTCTGAAAGTGGAGAAAAAACAAGGATTGTGATGTCAGAATTGCAGTATCTTAACTGGAGCTGGGCTATGATCCGTTGCAAGCTGGAATAGGGTGGAAGTAGTCTGTTCTCAACTATGACTGAAGTTTTGTCTGTCTTCAGAACTTTCACTTGTGCAATAAACTGACTTAGAGGAGACAGTGTCTGCTAATCAAATACATACTTCTCTGTACACGAAACAACTGCAATAGCAATTTGAGGTAAATTGGGAGGATTGAAGGAATGGATTTTAATAATTTCCCTCAGCCCTCAGCTGAGTGAGGCACATAAATCCAAATAAAACAGGAGATCTAGTAGCTACCACAAGAGATTGAACATTTATTTCATGATAAAAGTTCAGCAGATAAAACTATATATACAGTAATCCATGCACACTGTCCAATTACACAAACATTTAAAATCTGATTAAAACAAGTCTGCACAACAATGGAACAGGAGGGCAATGCTTTAGTTTAGTCGGGGACATAGTCATGTTTATATTTCGGATGCTTGTTGTAGCCTACTCTCTCCCCAGAAATAAGGCTCTGGATCACCCACTCCTGCGAGACAACAGGCAGATGTAATGCTTCTGCACACTTCAAGACAACAGCTGGGCAGGAAAAATCAGTCACCACCACATCATAAACACCCAAAGCAATATCTGCACAGGAGGAAAGAGGCATCGGTCAGGTTAAATAAAAGAAAAAGGATCTTTTAGCAGCAGATCAGTGTGTTTCACTACTATGGATTTCTCTACCACCCAATCTCTCTCATTCCTAGCCCATGAATTCTCTTTGTTAGAAGACATGCTCTCTAGCAACTCTGACCTTGCAGGTACATTTGCTCTAGTCCAGATAGAAATTAACAGAAAACTAGTAGCCAAGATTACTGACAGGAGTAGATAACTACAAGTCCTGACTGGAGGCTGCATTTACTAGGGCCTACATCCCGTATGGAGAAAAGACAGTTGGGTATGTACATAGGAATTCAGAAGGACATGGAAACTCAATTTTAGTGGCCTGGAGAAGGCCCAGGAGCGATTCTTGACTAAGTTTCCCCTTTTAATATAAGCTGGAGGCTGATGGTTTGTATCCTGAATCGCTGCAGCATATCTTTTCACTGGAAGGTAGCTCTTCTAGATGTAAGCTTCTACATCACATTCAAGCAGCGAGCTAGTGTCAGCATTTTGCCTTCTTTTATAGACACCCTTGCAAGCCATCATAAAGGTTTTAAAACCATACTTGAGACCACAGTGGCACAGGATTCCCAACTACTAGGCCTGAGAAAGCTGATGAATACCTTTATTGTGAGCATTTGAATAATGCTGTCTAACACATGTTGCTCCCCCTGTCATAAGGATTTCAGACCACAGATCCAGGAAGTTCTGCTGCTGGTCTGATACCAGGAGAACCTTCAGGTTATGAAATGGATTTTCTCGTGGGTGCCTGTGGAAGAAAGGGAATTGCAGATTGCTACAAATACCTGATAATCTGAGCTTTTATTTGAAGACCATTATCTATTTCCCCTTGTCACCTTACTGGCTCCCATATTAGTTCTTTGAGTATCTTGTATACAGTGACCTGCCCTCTTACCACCACCCCAAAACACCTGGAACAATTCTCTATTTATAGGTAATAAAAACAGAGCCAGACCACACTGGCAATGTGCATGGCAGCCTAAATTCAGAGCTAGGCTAGCCTCCTCCTTGATCCTGAATCACCTTTCCTGTGCATGTCCGAAACATCTCCACTTTGACAGGGCTGAGCAAGATGACATCAGTCTCCTGCCCAAAAGCCTATGGGGATCTGAAAACTGCTTTTGTCTGTTCCTCACCTTACCTGAGAAGTTTGACCTGACATCTGTTCTCTTCGAACAGACCTTCCGGATTAAATTCCACAGAAAATACAGAACCTGACTTCAAAATGTGCCAGCTCTCCTTTGTCCATTTCTGAGCAATTAGAGAGGTCAGCCAAGTGTGTGGGAAATCTTGCCCGATTCTTCCTTAAGAGGAGACTGAAATCTTTCTTCCCAGCAGACTTTTTTGTGTATATGGCAGCCACCTTGGCATTAGAGGTAAATCTAAGGAAAGAGGTGGAAATGCTGTTTCTATCTGGAAGGGAAAACAGGGGGAGCAGTACTAGGGACACCTTCAGAACCTGCAGTATTCAAGAGCCTCCAAAGCATAACGCTTCTCTCTCCTTACTTAAATCCTCAGCCTGTGCACTCTGATCATGGTTATTACTTATGGCACTTACCATTCTAGCAGTTTTTGCTCCTGGAGGCTATAACCAGCTGGCAAAAGGTAATTCCGGTAATTTTGAAGCTGGTTAGCATGACAGCTATCATGGACCCAGATATGAGACACACAAGGGATTCCTCTGGCAAGGCACAGCAAGTATTTCCGAGTTCGACAGTGCTGGTCCGCAATTAAAAGACACTGATACGCTGCATTACACTTCAGGTGAGATAAAAAAGACATGTAAACTGGAGACAAAGTGCTGAGAAAAAAAAAATCTGTTGAAGTTGTCTTGCTGCTAAACACTAAGGAAGAAAACAATCAAAACTCTGCTTTCACAGCTATATTATGAGAAAAGTGAATTAGATAAACAGATTCTGAGATCAGAAGTACCTATAATAACCACCTATTCAAAGCTATGGCTATGCAGTACAGGCAAAAACTACCTGGTAAAATTTGTATAACTGCCTGCCGCTTCAGATAGAGGAGGAAATTCATCATTTAAATTGTTACTCTAAGTTAGTAGAGAAGACTACACCTTCAGGCAAAATGCTCCAAGAACAGTTTACCTTTTTTTATTAAAAATCTGAACCTTATTTTCTGACTTAAGAAAAAGTATGTGTATAATAAAAAAAAACAAAACTACCATCTGCCTCAAAGTCTGCACAACGTCGTTCTGGCTTTGTCTGCTATTTTATGTTCTCTACATAAAACTACAGGAAAAGACTTGTTTTGGAAGCCATCATTACTTGTAATTTCATCATCACTACATCGTACAAAGCTTCGATACAGGTGTGCCCACATTATTCATGCCTACATGTTTCACATATTATCTAATCTGACCCATCTGCATACCAGATCCCTCTTCACAAAGAGGTTTGCTGCCTCCACAGGGCTTCAGGGATGCTACTACGAAGTGTCTGAGCATAATACAACCTTCAGACTATTACCCTCTCCTTTTTCAAGTGGGTACCGAAAACATAGCAACAGGAAGCCTAAGGTCTATCAGGAGGGACTTCAGGGTGCTGGGGAGAAACCTAAAGGACTCAGGAGCACAGATCGCGTTTTCCTCAATCTTCCCATAATAACAGGGAAAAACTGGAAAAGAAAGTAAGTCCAGGTCATCAATGCTTGGCTCCAAGACTGGTGCCTCTGCAAGAATTTTGGGATTTATAATCACAGAAGAGTCTTCAAGAACAGAGGTTTGCTGGGGCCTGATGGGACCCACCTGTCTTGTTGAGGGAAATGTTTCTTGGCCCATAGCCTAGTGAGATGGATTGAGAGGGCTTTGAACTAGGATCAGTGCAGGAGGCGAATACCATTAGGAGCGCTGAGGTTAAGCCAATGGATGGTGCAGCACTGTCTCCTGGTGGCAAGGCTAACAGGAGCATCTATGCTGCTCCAGGGAGCACTGTGGGTTCAGGAGCATGTCTGCTATACTTGTATACCAATTCAAGCAGTATGAAGAACAAACGGGACAAGCTGGAAGCTTCTGTCCTGTCCCAGAGCTATGATATATCTGGTATTAGTGAGATTTGGCAGGACAAGACCCACAGCTGGAGTGCTGGGATGGAGGGGTATCAGTAGTTCAAGAATGATAGGCAGGACAGGTGAGGTGGAGGTGATCTGCTGTACGTAAGGGAGAGATGAGACTGTATGGCCATTGCCGTTGGGGATGATGCCATAGAGAGCCTCTGAATGAGGATTAAGGAGACAGATATCAAAGGCACCGTTGTGGGTGTCTACTATCGACCACCTACCCAGGACAATGGCATAGATGAACTACTCTACAGGCAATTTGAGGAAATTTCTGGATCAGTTACCCTCATCCTTATGGGACACTCCAATTTCCTAGGCATATACTGGCTATATCACACCACCACAGCAAGCAAGTCTGGAAAATTCCTAAAGCATCTTGAAGGTAACTTCCTGCCACAAGTACTGAGGTTGCCAACTCAGAAAATTGCACTCCTAGATCTGTTTGAAATTAGAGATCTTCTCATATATAAGCTAGCTGTTGACTAACTAATCATTCTTCAGATGGGAGGGAATACTTTCAGCTGATTCTTGAGGCCTGGTCAGATTCTGACAGAATTGTTTTTCATCATACAAGTAGTTTACCAGTTGTAAGTCCGTTGCTTTTCAGTTTCAACTGCTCTGTCTCCCATACCATATTGTAACAGGAGCTATTCTGCGCATCCCATTTTACTTGACTCCTATTTAGACTATGCAACATTTCTCAGGGAGACAACACTGAAAAATGCTGAACTGTCTCTAGTTGCCCAAATCCCCCAGGAAATGCCCTAGAATTATTACCAATAAATTACAATGCACTGTATTACATGAGAAGTATAAGTTACTCTTTCCTATGAGAACTATGCTTAATTTCCTCATAATTTACCTGCTATTCATCAGAAGTACCAAAAGAGAGGAAGAAGAAAAAAGGGGAGATGGCTCTATAGGAGCCTTCCTGTACATCCAGTTCATCTCTTCAGCTTACTTTTACAAAGCCAAACACTGACACGCAAGAAACACTTGTATGTATGGAAAAGCATAAATGATGCTTAAATTCCCCACCATCTATTCTTGCCTAAAAGAATTCAGTTTTTCAACATTCTACTGAAAAACATTGTAGACGGTGCTGCTTTTCAGGAGGGACTCAACAGGCTGGAAAAATGGCCTGACAGGAATCTCATTAAATTTGACAAAGGGAAATGTTAAGTGCCACACCCAGGTAGGAGTAACTCCATCATCAGTATGTGCTGGGAACTGACCAAGTGAAAAGTAGCTTTGCAGAGAAGGACCTGGGGTTCTGGTGGAAGACAAGATGAATATGAGCTAGCGGAGTGTCTTTGCAGCAAGCCAACCAGCATCCTTGTCTGTGTCAGGAAAAACATTAAAGCAGGTCAAGGCTGGTTATCCCGCTGCTCGCTCTGTCTATCTATCATGCTGCTCTATTTGCAGCACTGGTGAGACCACATCTGCAGAACTGCATCCAGTCCTAGGTTCCACAGTGTGAGAAAGACATGGACAACCTGGAGCAGACCCAGCCAAGAGCCATTAAGATGATCTAAGATTTGGAGCATCTGATCAAGAGACTGAGAGAACTGGGTGTGTTTGGCTCCAGAGGAGATGGCTTAGGTAGTCTTACCAGAGCATATTAGTAACTGACAGGAGGGTGCACAGAAGATGGAGCCAAACTATACTTCATGGTATCCACTAAAAGGACGAGAAGGTACAAACCTAAATACAGGATTTTTTTAATTTTTTTATGTTTTTTTAAATTGGGGGTGGTCAAACACTAGAATAAGTTGCCCTGTCAGGCTGTGGAGTCTCCGCCTTCAGGGATGCTCAAAAACCAACTGGACGAGGTCCTGAGCAACTTTCTCAAGTTGATTCTGTTTTGAGCAGGGGGAGTAGACTAGATGATCTACAGAAAATTCCTTCCAATCTCAATTATTCTGTGACTATCATCCTAAACTATTACCCAAGTCCTTACCTGGGTTTCATTAAAGTCTTCCAAGATATAGCCGGCTCCTGCTCGCAGCTGTTGTGCTATATAATGTTTGTTGTATGGAGTCATATCTAAAAATTCTAGAACAGAAACAGAAGGTTAAATTTTTGGCTATAACCTGTCCATGTCCATACCCTCCTCAGTCTGCACAACTCATCCATTCTAATAAGGGATCCGCTCCTCTTTCTCCCAAGTACATCTACAAAAATCCTCAGAGGAGTCCAAAAAAAAGGACATCAGTAAAGGCAGCGCAGCAATGGCCTAATTAGCCAAGTGAGCACTTTGTGGCTTTCTTCATGCTGCAGTTCACTGCATGAAACATGACTTCAGTGAAGGCAAACTGCTGCAATCCATTCATGCTTTCAAGTCCTGTTTCTCAGCACTATCTCTTTTCTTAAAACCTTCTTTCTTATATTACACTAGTGATATATTCAGAATCTGCTGATCCTTCTGTCATACCTTTCTTATTTTGCTGAACAGCCTTATGATCATCACTGATGTTTGCTACATTTCAGGTTGTAAATTCTCTTAGAGACTGACAGTTATCTCCTTTCTGCAAAGGATTAATGAGCAAGAGAGAAACACTCACACCAATGCCTGATCAGACAAAATCCATCCCTTTTCCCAAAGCAAGAGCATTCCACTTGAAAATGTGATGGGTAAGGTTCACCTCACCTTCTTCTTCTTCACTACTCCCTGCAGGACCATCTGATGTTTTCTGGCGATTGACCAATTTGTCACTGGGTGTTGCCATGGTGAGAAGAAAGGCATAACCCAAAAAGAGTGTCTTATTGTGGGGCAATGGTCCATGATGGTCCTCCAGAACTGGGGGATCTACAGCATCTACACCTTCACAGGTGCTCACAAACTCTCCTGCTCTCACAGCCCCTGTGGGAAGATGGAAGGACCATGAGTCTCACAAGTCAGGTTCAACACAAAGACCTGAGGAATGATTTGGGATATGTTCAATTTCAGTTGTTTTACTGGAGAAGAAAGGGAGGCAGGACTTCGTTATGATTAAGCTAGGATAGGTTGGCATCTTTTACCTGTGTAGCTGCAAAGAATCTTTAAATCAAAACCCTAGCGACTAATAGAACAATGTTTGGCAGTTTGTCAATATCCTGAAACAAAGAGACCCTTCATAGCATTAACTGTGAAGGCGTATCAGGACTGACTAAACAGGTAAGAAAGAAGAGAGGCATTACGGTCAGAACAACATGCTGCAAAGAACACTTCTAAAAGGCAGAAATGAAAAGATGGCAGACAAATACTCAGACTATGCTAAAAATATCTCTGGCTACTGAATGTATCCAGGGATAATCTATCTCAAATCCTACAGGGCAAATAAGCAAAAAGTAAGAAAGATGCTTGTGTGAAGTGGAAAGACCAACTACAATAATATATATATATCAAGGAGGAAAAAAAAAAAAAAAAAAAGGCTGATAAAGTTTAAGAACAGAAAACAATGTTCTCACCAGGCTTCATTGTTGCTGACTTGCGGCCACGTTTAGCTGGGGATCTCTCTTCTTCAGAAGCGACAAGCTTCCTCTTCCCAGACAGCACACCTGGTGGGATGCGTGGACTCTCCAGCCCTTTACGAGTGGGAGTTGTGCTACTGCTGGAAGTGCTGGGAGAAGCAAGGTTACTACGTCGCTTCCGCTTCCCCTCCACAAGATTATCTGTAATATAGTATGCAGAGATTATAACAACTGATTTTCATAGAATATCTGAGTTGGAAGGGACCCACAAGGATCACTGAGTCCAACTCCCTGGTCGCCAAAAGACCACCCAAAATAATAATAATTAAAAAGAAAAAAAAAAAAATCAGAGCATGTGTCTGTCCAAACGCTTCTTGAACTCCTGCTGTCACCTACCCCTATCTATTTGTCCAGAGATGGTTACACTCAACAGTATCTAGCAGGTACATACTACCACCCTCTGTTAGAGCAAAATAGCAGAGAGGAAAAAACAAAAACAAACAAAAAAATCCACCCTTGCTTGCATGGCTCTTCTCTCAAGCCAAGTACTCTGCCAGTCTCTTTTCCACCCAGCATAACCAAACAGTTTATATCACAGCAGTCACCCTACATACCAAGTGTAACTGAGTACAGTAAGCACCACTACCCTGGAAGCAGGTTGCTCTCCACAAGTCAGTCAATACCACTATGTTTCTGAGCAAGAGATACAAACAGGAAAAGGGTCTCAAAGATCTCATTATAGAGTATAGACCAAAGGAACCTGTCAGATTTTGTTTTGTGCTCAGTTTTGTATCTGCACCCACCTCGTCACTTGCCTTCAGTTTTAAAACACCTTTTTTTTACATTAAAGATTTTGTCCATTAGACATATGTCCCTCTGGCCATAGCCAGAGGAATGGGCTTGCTCTTTTTCAGATCAATAAACAACAAAACACTAAGATCAACAATCACAAACACTTGATTCACAACAGGAAAGGATACCATTGTAAAACTAAGTACTGCCATAACAAAATGCAAGCTGCAAAGAAGCAATGGGCATCAGCCTCTCCAAAATCTTGGCCAGGCTCAGTCACAGCCTTGCCCAAATGCCATAGGACAGGTGTTAAGAGACTGAAGGGATCAGAAGGAAAATGGCAAGAAACAATATTCAACAAACATGCTGTCACAGGAAAGCTGAATAAGTTATTTGCATGTGTGACAGAGAGGAACTTAGGGATAATGGAAGAAAGATGAATTAATAAAGTAATCCAATGCTTAGCAAGTCGTATCAAGGAATTCAAGTCTGGAATTGCTTAATTACAAACAGCTGCACGTAACCTGTTGTTTAAAAATCACCTCCATACAGAGGTACACACTATAGTACTAATGAAACATTTTCTTAGCACCTCCAGCACAATCCAGAGAACTACAAAATGGTAGCTTTGTGGCTTTTTGTACCAACAAATTCACTGAAACGATACTAAGGATCTGGTAGATTCATGAAGAAGTGACCTGGTGGGAAACAAAAACTTATTTGTATTTATCATCTTGAATACATTAGCATTCTTTGAAAGAATCAATGAGAATATGGATGATGATTGATCTGCATGAGTGACTGAAGAGTTGTTGTTTTTAAATAAAATGTTTGTGTGTATGTGTGTGTGTATATATATATATAGAAAATGATCTTACCAAAAGCTTCTCTATAACTTAAGCTACTAAAGCAAACAGGAGCAATGTCCTCTCATGTGTTAATAACCGGTCATCACAAAGGATGATCACTGGGCAAGAATACATGGAACAAAGTTACTTATATAGCACTTCAAGTATTCGTGTTCAGGCATATACTGCTCAACATGCTAATAAGATATTTAGAAAGGAGAAAGAATTGTGAGATAAAGTCTACTGATGACATAAAATTACTTAATGCTTATCCAAACTAAAGCTGACTACAACAAGCCACACAACTCTGTTTTAATGCATCAGACAAAATTCAGGTCTGCTGCTAACCAATAAAAACCATGGTCCAGAAGCAGCCTCTGATCCAAAAGATTCAACAGACTTGACTACTGAAAGGCTGTATTAGACCAAAGACCAAATCCAAACTTGCTTTCCCTGTGTGATCTCCCCTAAGACACACAAAAAAGCTGCTGTTTGAGGCAGTACACAGGGTTACAGGGTTAGATGGATCTTGATTTGGCTCGGTGCAATTTGTAGGTAGTTGTCAATGAACTCCATGAACATGTGAGGAGCTGCTGAAGCTACTTGGTTTGCTCAGCATGAAGAAAACGAGACCGAGAGGAGACCTCATCATGGTTTACAGCTTCCTCATGAGGGGGAACAGAGGGGAAGGCACTGATTTCTCTCTGGTGACCAGCAATAGGACTTGAGGAAATGGCTTGAAGCTGCAACAGGCAGTTCAGGCTGGTTATCACAAAAAGGTTCTTCACTGAGAGGGTGGGTCTGGCAGTGGAACAGGCTCCCCAGGGAAGTGGTCACAGCACTAAGCCTACTGGCGTTCAGTAAGCGTTTGGACAACACTCTCAGGCACATGGTTTGATTTTTTGCATGGTCCTTTGGGAACCCAGGAGTTGGACTTGATGATCCTTGTGGGTCCCTTCCAACTTGGGATATTCTATGAACTCTGAAAACATTTTTGAATATCCAGAAAGATCTAAAACATGGGTAATTGGGATTAGGAAGCAGAAACATCTCAAAGGCACAAGACGTGTGACAGCATAGCCCCGGAAGAAAAACAGGAGCACTTCAAACTACATAGAGTCAGCAGCTCAACAGCACCTCCCCTTACCGAGACTGATGTCAGCTGCCTTCGCCAGGGGGGTGACAGGTTCATAAGGGCCTAGCCCAAACTGCTCCCGGAGCTTATTTCCTTGTTCCATAGACAGGATAACAGCCATTCGTTTGTACCACTTCCGCTGGCCTTCCTTTTCAATGCAGTAATATAGCTCTCCAGACTCTTTCCGGTGTCCTTTCACTACACCTGATAAGACAGCAAATGACACCTGTTAACTACACCTAGGCTTCCCATCCTCCTGAACAAACACCCATCTTCCATTGCATTCATCAACTCAAGAGAACCCAGGAACTGACCTCAAACACTGCTCTTACCTGCACTGAAGTACTCATCCTCTGAGAGTGCAGTCACCTCAGTTTCCAGTGGGATAGGGTCACAGAGTAAAATATCTTTTCCTAGCACATCACATTCATACCCATCATCAAAAAGCAGCTTGTACTTCCCTGCCCCAACATCTTGGGTTATCGTTCCAGAATAGAAGTACCCATTTGAAGACCACTTTGCTACAACCCTGAGGCCCACAAAGCTGCTCCCAGAGGATGAGTCTGCACAGTCTGAAGGACCAGTCACCACTTGTAACGGGATTTCTGGAGAGTCACTTCGACGTAAGGCACAGAAGCCAGAAGTGTCAGATTTCTCCCCTCCATCTGGCTGGCGAACTGCACGAACAAATGATTTCTCCTCAGGTGATGCTGTAGTTGAGAGATCCTCTACACCTGGAATTCCAGCTAAATCTCTGTAGAAAAGACAAAAGCAGACCCAGAAGGATCAGGAAAAACAGTTACTAAACAAAGAATATTTAGGACAGATTCTTGCTGCTGCTACATGCTATCACCAAAAACTAGCTCATGAAATACTTAACACTCCATTTTCTCTGTCACATTAATACAGCAGGCCCCCCTTCTCTTCCTTGACAATATTAATATTACAGAATCCTTTTTCCAGGGTACCTTGTTGCTGTTGTTCGAGATGGTGGGCGGCCTCTTCTTCCTCGCCCACGAGGTGTAACAGGTGCTCTGCCACCCTGACGAGTACCAAGCATAGAGTCCTCCTCTTCCTCACACAGAAGCGCTCCTGTCTGGCTAACTCTGAGAGGAGATGCTGGCTGACCAGCTCCTTTCCTAGGGCTAGAGAATTCATGAGTTCAGTTAACCATTCTGAAAAGAGTTATCACCTTGCTATATCACCCCATTTTCCCTGTGATCTGCCAACTGGACAAGAACTTTGCCTCATCCTTCCTGAACTGCTCAGAGCTAAAGCAAAGCTATGCATCATAAGGAAACAATCATTACTCCTTCAGGAAGAAAAGATGGGAATACAAAGACTGTTCCTTATTTCTGTTCACCAAGACAGATCCTTTCCTGAATATTCTTGGTTTAGGGTCTACCTTGCTTCACATTTCACCCAAGCCAGCTGTTGACTTCTGCAAAATACCTTCTCCATTCTCGAAGCTCTGCACATACCTTAGTCTTCCTAAGGTACCTCTGCCAATGGGTAAAACAAACTCTCCAGTTTCCGCACCACACATTTTCCCTTTGACAGCTCCAGTTCCTCGTGCTGAGCTGCTGCTGTGTGTTGCAGAGTGACCACTGCTTGCTCCACTGGATGTGCGGTGGAGGCTTGAGGCCTTAGATGAGAAGGAACTGACATCACCAAGGTCCCCTGAGGTCAGTGATGATCCCACTGCTGTTCTAGAGGAGGATGTGTCTGTCTCACACTCCTGGCACTCCACTATAGGCTCCTCAGTTTCCTTAGAAGAAAAAAGAGGCCACTTCAAAGGTGATGAACTTGCTAGACGGAAGCTACATTGTAGAAACATCAGACACAAACAAGCTGAGAATACATTCATGAAATTGAAGACAGCTATGCAGATTGAGTCTGGACTAATCAATGGCAGACAGCTTCTCTCTCCCTACAGGCCTGTAGCTGTGCTCCATACGAAGAAGTCACATTAAGAAATCAGTCACCAAGACAGAGCTTGGACGGCTTTGATTTCAAAGCCAGAAATCAGCCTGGCTTTGAATGATTTCCACCCTTTTAGAGTGTAAGAGTGCAAGAACTACATGACACACTATCAGCCTTTGGTTACTAGTAATACAAGATCAAAATCAGATGGTTGGTCATTTGGAGCAATTCAAGTTTTATGGATATTTACAGGTCTGTCAACACAACACTGATATCAAATGTAGGTAGATAAACTGGACATGGTTATACGATTACATAGCCTGTGAAAATACATTTAAGAAAATCTAATTCTCTATTTTAATATTACAATAAGCAATTTTGTGTGTAGTGTCAGGTGTGAGAGCGTAAGTAACTGAACTAATTTATCCATTTGTGACATTACTCATTGCAATGAGTAATTACATTATTCACTGTAACAAAGTTAGCACAAGACACTTGTGTTATTTACCTGTATAGCAGAACAGCAGTAATGTGTTACTACTGCAAGCAGGCTGGTATGTTTACCATGTATATCATATCAGCATTTGTTGACTATTCTTTGAGTTTCCCTAAAGATTTTCCAATAAAGGAATGGATTGTACAGCAATAGAAGCATAGTAAAAATAGGCTTGTTTATTTTTTGATTTCGAGATGCTTTTTGGAGATCTCTTACAGAATCTGGTCGACAGGACTCAAAACCCCATGGACTACAGGTGAAAGATAACACTGAATTGCAAAACAGGCTGAACAGTCTTACATAGTTCAATTTTACAGATAGAAATGATTTTTGCTGACTAATTTCTGCCCATTCTGAAATCTCTGCTTTGACAAAAACCCAAGAATTTTACAATAGTTAGAAGCATATTATAAAGTCTTTTGTCCATTTTTGTCTCCCAGAGAAGTGTGTCTTCAGAACGCAGTAACAGGAATGAAATACACCAGCAACAAACACACAGCTTTCAATATGCACTGAATGGTCTGTATGTTCACTCATTGAAAAAAAAAAATTGTCATCACGGCACACTGGTTTGCCCACTCAGCTCACGTTTTCTGCAGCCACAATACAATTTATTTTTTCAGCCAACATATTAGTATATTTAGCCCTGAAAACAGGATCTTACCTCAACTACTTTTCGTTCTACCTCTGCACCATTTACATAGTAAACATCTGTTATAACACGGGTAACAACAGTGCGCACCTCTCGAACAGTTCGCATGTGGCGACGTTGAACCTGGCCTCTAGGTGGGTGAAGAAGGTTAAATTCCTCCTCTCCCTGTATTAACAAGACAAATTAAAATGAAAACAAACCACATCCAAAAGCAAATAATTTCTGTGAACAGCTATCTCTGCAGTACAGTTTTTTCTTACCGCATTTGAGTACTGTCGTAGGGAACCTTTCAGTATCTTGCTGCAAATTAGATGCAACAACATGAAAGACCCCGAACAAGGGAAAATTGAACACATTTTGCTCATTTGTTGAGGGGCAGAGGAAGGGAAATCACAGCAGTCCAAGGAAGAAACACCAAAACTGTCTTAGTATAGCTTCTGATAGTCATTCAGTGGGCTCTCACATCTCATAACTATTACAGAGTGTATTTATGGCCCTCTAACCTCCTGTTTCCCAGAGGAGGCACAGTTCTTATTTCAAGTCTAGAAAAGATCATTATTCTAGTCCTTATATTCATAAGAAATATGCAAGCTCTAACTTCAAAGCAGTTATTTTTCTTGAGTCTGCAGCAAACTTTCTGAAACACTAGTTCAAAGCTAATTCATCTTGTTAGAATGTTTAACTAGAGGAGCTCTCCCCTGATGTGTTTATCCATTGTATTCTGCTGCTCCATCCAGTGAAAGTGCCAGACGTTCACTGGTGCAAATAGGAGACATCAAAGCATTCCTTCCAGATTTCATACAACTTCCTCCTCCACCCAAAAAAAAGTTGTTTTGTTTTTTTTTTAATAGCGTTAACTACATCTAGACATACACAGACAGACACAAAATCATATTTTCTCAGAAAATATCAAGACATTTACTTCCCAAACTTACTCTGTCCACTGAGTATTGCAGTCCCTTAACAGCTGTCTACAGTTGATAAAGGAAAGCTTATGCCATTTATGTTTTGAAGAGGTCTCTTGGCTTTTTTTGACAGAGGAATTATGGTTACTGAATTTATTGGCTGAAGGGATACTTTACTGTTCTAAAGCAGTAAAATTAAATACAGGCAGCCTTCATCCCACCTGACTGTGCAGAGAGTCTGTGTCTTCTCCAGATGCATTCACAAGCTTTTCCCCACTCTCCTCAGTTTGGATGTTCGCATCTTGTCGACCAAGTCTTTGCCCAGACATACTGGTTCCCACATCCACTCGCCTACAGATTCCTTCTGCTGTTTGTGTTGCTACTGTAACAGTTGTTGGGGTAAAATGACAGTCTGCTGCAGTTTGAATCCCTTTATTATTAGTATTTGCTTGCTTCTCTTGGCTTTCATTAATTGCAACAGCTTTACTTGGTTTCTTCTGCGTTCTTGTCCCTTCTTCCATCTGAGTGCTAATAGTACCAGTCTCCACACACTCCCTCTCCTCTGCACAGAGAGGTTGTTGATGGCAGCCCTGTTGCATCCTCCGAGGAATTAGGAACTGTCTACCACTGTCATCTGCTCTGTGTTGCCGGCACTGCTGACTGGGATTTTTACATAATTCATCATCTTCTTCTGTGCCAGGAAAACTGAATAGATTCCCCCTGCAAACCAGTTATATATAGGTCAAAATTATTGATTAAAAATGCAGGAAGGCCAATATTCTGCTACTCAGGTCAAAGCACTATTTAAAATACAACAATGCATTTTTTCAATTGCTTCTTAAGCTTACAAAGAACTCGGTGTGTTTTCAAATTGTAAAACATTTTGCAACATCTCTCAAGTGATCCATGTGGTGGCAGGAAGAATTGCTGACACCTATAGAAAACTAGGAGCTTTTGCAAATACTAATAAAGCAATGTATGCTCCGAACAACAAGGACCACGTATGCGAAATGCTTCTCAAAGTCACGCCATCTTGAAGTTGCTACAGTCTGCTTCGGCACTTCCTTGACCTGAAAGAGTTAATCACACCTAGCAAGAAGAGGCAGGAGTGTGAACACAAATGCTGTTTAACACCTTCACTAGGATTTCTCTTCCCCGTCAATAATCTTACCAGGTTTTATATGGGACTGTATACTGAATCTTACTAGAAGTACACATTTATCCTCCCTCATCTCCCTCATACCTGAGAGACTTTGAGGAGTGACTGTCTTCCATTCTGTCTGTACACTGCCCAGCACTAGAAGTTCCTGGTCATCGCTGTCTACAGTATAACCGTTCAATACTCTTGCAATATAAATTACTTTTTCTTCATAGGTCAAAACTTCAATCAAAAGATAGAATTTCAAAATCCTCCTGGATGCGATCCTGTGCTATGTGCTCTACGTGTCCCTGCTTGGTAGGGGGTTGGACACTGTATACTCTCCAGGGTTCCCTTCGAACCTCAACCATTCTGTGATTACCATGTGAGATATAGACATACAGTACTTAATATATTCATTCCATTGCGCCCAACCTTTTAAGTCATCCAAAGACAAAGAGACTACACTGAGTCATTAATGTTAAAAATGCACACGTGTGTAAATCCAAAATCTAACCAGGACTGGCAGTCAAAGACTGTAAGTAGTTACCTATATGGAGAAGCTGAAAGGTCATGGCCTCTGGCCTCATCCTCTCGCCGAACTTCACAGACACGACTGAACACAGATGATGCTTTCTGGGAGCTAGCAACGCAGATTAAAAAAAAAAAAAGGCATTAGGGATTGCAAAAATACAGCATAACAAGTTTTCTAGCCCCCTGGGAAAACAACTACTGGCATTAAACATTCAAATTGAGTTTGATGATGTAGGCAACCAGAAAATGAGTGTGATGGTCAGACACTCAAAGGTCAAGAAATGACCCACAATTATATAAGCACTTCTATTATTTCTGCAGACACTCTCACAGCCAAGAGCAATCTAGCAATTCCAGAAAACGTAGGGTAAAGAACTGCAGCACCATCAAGAGTTTCACCATCACTATTTCTTGCAGCCACTGGGGAACACCATTAAATCATTTATGGCGTATTTAAAATCTTCATGACAGAGCAAAATGATGGGGAAAGACCTGTAAAGCAGACTCTGAGAGATCAAGTTCAACCTACACCTACAAAGGCAACCCGACATCAATCAGTGAGGACTGACGACCATTCACCCTCAGCACTGAGGCATAATTACCATCCAGCACCTAATTCTGCGACAAGAGGTACTAAGTTTATTTCAAAGTTTTCTCACTGCTTCAAACCATTATACTTCACTCAGACCACTATAGATAGTGTCTTCTCACTCAGATTCTTATTAGTACTTACAAATCATACAGTCTAAAAGATACAATCAAGCAACCCTAGGCAATGTGGGAATACAGTACATGGTAACAAGCCTGTTTCCAAAACTATTTTTCTTACATGTGTGGTAAGACAGATACATACAGATTAAAAGATCAAGGAAGAACACTTATGTTTTGGTCAACGCATTAAACTGTGATCTCAATCCATCAGTGACTTTGTTATGTTTCTATCAGCCTCATATCAAACAGAATTTTCTTTCAGAACTCCTCAGAGCTGAGACTATTTGCAGAAAATTGCACAATAACAAAGAAAACCACGTTTGAAATTTCAGAGGTTGATAGTGCAGACCTGCATTCTGGACTGCACAAGACATGAATTTCTGCTCTGACTATAATCAAAAGGAGGTAAAATGCTGATGTTAGTAGGAAAGCACAAAGCCTACAACAGAACAGCAGGTAGGAAACCAGCTGTTTTGGACCCACCTCGCATCCACATCTACTCACTTAAAACCTGATACAAGAACTAAAGAGTTGATGCTGTTGCTACCTTTAAAAGAGCTCCTTACTTCTATGTCTCATTTTAACTGTTATTCCCCCTTCCACTGGTAATGAGCAGAAGAAGGATCTAATCAGACCTCTGTCTTGACTCTGCACAGCAACAAGCCCAGTTACCTGGCAGCAGCAGCAGATCCATTTTTCCTGTCACTGGCTGTAGGCTCTGAAACAAGAGGGAAGGGAAGGACAATTTCAGTGTCACAGTCTCTCCTGTCCTTCTTAGCACCCCACACCCAGTGAACTGAGAGGCTGAGTAATGTCAAAGAGTCCTCAGGCCTCCCCACCCAACTTATCATCACAGCCCCGAGCCTATATACATGTACATATGCAAGTTTTAGGCTATTAGACTGAATATCACTATTCTGACTAAAATGCTATCAAACTTGTTCATTCAGATCATACTTTCAGTATCTTTTCATTCCTTAACATAATCAAACTCTTTTTCTGTCTTGTGATTACATGTCTCACAGAGCACCCACAAACAATTGCAATGTACATTGCAAATGCACATCACAATTTTCAGTCTGCTGGAAATATCCTTCCCCCAACAACAGAGGCCTCTCTTCTCACTGCCCAAGAAGAAAAACTGCAAGATTTCAGAGATCATCTCAGGGAATGCCATGGAGAGATTCTAAGTCAGGGTGTTGAAGTCTAGTACAACCTGTATGTTCCAAGGTTTCAGTCTCTTACTTTCCAAGCAGAATCGCAGGGATTCCTCACTCCCATCATTCACAGGGGTAACAAGGTTCATTTGCAGAGAGAGTTTTGCATCAGCCTCAGGAACTACATGAGAATCTCCTTTTTCACACACTTCTGACACATCCGTTGATACCACTGCACTTTCCATGGTGACATTGTTGGTCCCCATTGTACCCTCAGCTGTAACATCACTAGTTGCTATAGTGCTGTCTGGACAACTATCAGCCACTGAAAATAGGAAAACAAAGAAGTAAAAATTGAAGTAGCCATTGTGGCTCCCACTGCTGTGGTTCAGGGCCCAGTTTGGTTTTGAAACTGCTTCACTGCATGCATTATTAGTGATAGCGCAGTAGTGGAAATTCCTATCTGGTCATCCTAGAGTTCTGAGAGGATCAAAGTTCTTTAGCACAAGTATCATCCATAGCTTGTGATGAGAGCAGACTGATTTACTATTTACCAGAAATATACAATTCCTTTTCTCCAACACATGCAAGCTGTTATTTTGTGAACCCAGCAGAGAAAGTCTTGCAAACGATGAATGCTGGGAACAACCTTCTTTTAATTTAAGCGCTTTCACTACTCAAAGGGATCTTCTGCATTCTTTAATGGAGTTACATATCGGAATGCAATGAAGGAAGGTATGTTCCATACAACCCCATACTAAGGTAGCAAACATCTTCATTACAGACCGAGGAAAGAAAAAGAGGGATGAACCCTCCTCAAACAGCAGCAATGTTTTTTGCCAAGACAGGTTTGAGTTATCCTATGATCCCGCATCTAGAATAAAAAGTTCCAAACTGAAGAGAACCATTTGGGTCAAACTCACCAATTGGCGTGCTGTGTCTTCTAGGTCCCATTTTAAGCTGGCCAGTAAGAGGTGGTGTTATGCTGGTCAAGGGCTGAATGATATCACCCTCCTTTGGCAAAGTAAAATGAAATGGAGTTCCTAAAAGACAGGGAGAGTCAGGATTAGTAATTTCAGGAGTGTACTCCAGTCCAAGTACAAAAAGCAAAAGTTCACTGCGGTGTGGAAATGAGGAAAAGCATAACCCTTGTGCTATCCTGTACAGAAACCTCCTGAACAGTTAGTGGACTCAGGATTGCTGCTCTAACTGATCTTCCTCACTTTTCATGTGGAAAGTCTCTCTCGGTTGAAGTCTGGACTGTGGTCTACTTTGATGCAGTTGTCTCCAGAAGCTAGATGAAAGTGAGACTAAATAACCTCATGTGAAAACGACTTCTGCAGAATGCAGGTTTTCTTGAAAAGTGCTCAGGATTTTGCACAGAGAACAGAAACAAGGCCAGAAACAAAAATGAAAGTTAGGACACAACTGTATTGGCAGAGCTATGTGTTGCCTGAATTAATAACCTAACCTGGCACAGAATGGTGTATTATCATCATGGATAACAGAAGAGCAACTGATGTCATCTACCTGGACTTGTGCAAAGCATTTGACACTGTCCTGCATGACATTCTGGTCTCTAAACTGGAAATACGTCAATGTGATAGATGGACCACTTGGTGGGTAAGGAAATGGCTGGGTGGTTGCACTCAAATAATTCTGTTCAATGACTTGATGTCCATGCGCAGACCAGTGATGAGCAGTGTCCCTCAGGCGTCGGTACCGGGACAGGTGCTCTTTAACATTTTTGTCGGCAACATGGACAGTGAGATCGAGTGCACCCTCAGCAAGTTTGCAGATGACACCAAACTGAATGGTGCAGTCGACATACTGGAGGGAAGGGATGCCTTCCAGAGTGGCCTGGACAGGCTGGAGAGGCTGGGGAAGTGGGCTCACGTGAACCTGATGCAATTCAACAAGGCCAAGAGCAAGGTCCTACACCTGAGTCGGGGCAATCCCAAGCATAAATACAGGCTAGGTGGAAAACAGATTGAGAGCAGCCCTGAAGAGAAGGACTTGGGGCACTGGTTGATGAGAGACTCAACACAAGCTGGCAATGTGCACCTGCAGCCCAGAAAGCCAACTGTATCCTGGGCTGCATCAAAAGAAGTGTAGCAGGCTGAGGAAAGTGATTTTCACCCTCTGCTCCGCTCTTGTGAAACCTCACGTTTAGCTATGGAGTCCCCAGCCTAAGAAAGACATAGACCTATTAGAATGGGTCCAGAGGGCTGGAACACCTCCCCTGTGAAGACAGCTGAGAGAGCTGCGGTCATTCAGCCTAGAGAAGAGAAAGCTCTAGGGAGACCTTATACCAGCCTTCCTGTACTTAAAGGCGGCCTGCAGGAAAGATGGGGAGGGACTTTTCATCAGGGTGTGTAGTGACAGGACAAGGGACAACAGTTTTAAACTAAAAGAGCATAGATTTAGATTAGACATTAGGAAGAAATTCTTCACTACGAGTGTGGTGAGGCACTGGAACAGATTGCCCAGAGACACTGTGGATACCGCATCCCTGAAAGTGGATGTTGGAAAAGTGGAAAATTGGATGAGGCTCTGAGCAACTTGCTCTAGTGGAAGGTGTCCCTGCCCATGGCAAGGGTTTAGAATTACATGAGCTTTAATGTCCTTTCCAACCCAAATCACCATATGATTCTAAATAGCTAGCCTTGGGTCAGCAGATATACCCCACTTGGACGTAGTCCTGTGCAACCTGCTCAGGGTGATCTCAACTGAGCCGTGGGTTGGACCAGATAACCTGCAGAAGTCCCTTCCAACCACAACCGTTCTGTGATTCAGATAGCTACCTATGAGCTTGAATATATAGCAGCAGTCAATGAACAGTTAGACAATAACATCGGAAACTTGCCATCAGAGTAAACTTTTAAGGGAAATAATAGATATTGCAGTATTATAACCAGCTGACAGCTGCCACCAGGACATTAATATGCAAGCATCAGTCTTTACAGATTACATGGAATTTTTTAAATAAGATTAAAAGAATAACCATTTCCTCCCCCACATTATGGTCAAAATTGGTTTTCATCATCTTTAATCCTAACCTTCGTTTTCACAAAACATTGCTCAAACAATGCAAATCACATTATAACTTCTAATTTTAATAGGCATGTATTAAAAAATAGCAAAACTAAACAGTATTGGAAATTTTCTAGTAAAGGTTTCAAGAGCTAGCACCAGATACTCACATACAATTTTTATTTATCGCAAGACATAGTGCATCATTCTGCAGTTACACAAGATGCTCACATATAATATACACAACTGCCTTGGGGGAAATGATGCCATAAATACATGACAAAGACATAACCCACTCATGGGGGAAGGGGGAGGGAGAAAGAAAAAAAAAGATAGCCTGTAAAAAGTTATTTACTGTCCTTTTGGAAACTCATCTTCACCATCAGCCGCTATACCACCACAGGTTTTGAAGATATGGTTCAGCAACTGCAATATCCTTGAGATCATCTTAGGGACTCCAGAGCGTTTTTGCAGTGGGCAGGTATTTCACAGAACAATGATATTCATACTTTGTGGGTTCACTGCATATCAAAAGGCCAATTACCATTCCTCTCAAATGGCTTTTGAATGCCTGACCTGAAAAAATGCATAGTATGCCTGAAAGCTTAATTACTTTCACCTATCTGTACCAACCATTCAAACAATGAAAGGTTATATTTCTCTAAAATCTTCTCCTATATCCTTAAGACCATCATCCTATAACATTTGCTTTTATCTTTCAGCATCAAAAGATCCAGTCTTTCTTTGGCTCACTTTGCCGCTCTCCAGTTTGCTAATGCTAAGGTATAAAAAATTTCAATTTCTTAGATAACTTTCACAGGGAGAGCTGGATGTTTTACAGCACAGTGCAAATAGCAACTACCAGCATAGCACAAAACTACACCCTTAGGAGACAATCGATTCTTCCAGCTGTGCATCAAGCTAAGCAAAGCAAATTTTCATCTACAAGAGAAGAGGATAACAAATCTAAGTCTCACTCCCTTTTCTACATGTGGTGATGCTTCTTGCACACTATTACTGCATAGATAGCCAGCCTGCAGCTCAGGCCCCTCTGCTCTACTTCTTCTCCCTACCCATCACTTCTAAAAGGGATGTGGTGCATACTATGGCTCTCAGCCACATGAAGATGTACACAGAAGACTATTAGTGGATGGCCATTTTGTCTTCTGTGCACACATCTACCCAATCGCTCTTGCAGATCATGCTACAGGATTATTTTCAAAAGAAGAAAGCAGAGAGGAAAGACCACTATGTGGAAGACCTAGGAACATTTTACTATCTAAGCAGCTAATAAAACTAGAGCAATGACTTATATTCAAACTGGTACAGTGTGGGGGAGGCAGGGCCAAAAATATCCACAACCAACACAAACCATGACTTACATTTAAGAACTTCCGCTTTCTCTTTCGAAAAGCCATCTCTTACCTCTGCTCTTAACTCACTAGTGCTGCTAGACAGGACAAAAGCTTGATTCATAGAATCATAGAATATCCTGAGTTGGAAGGGACCCTTAAGGATCATCAAGTCCAACTCTTGACACCGCACAGGTCTACCCAAAAGTTCAGACCATGATTACATCAGTGTTCTCTGTTGGTATTTTATACCTACCTGTGATACATCAAAAAGGACTAGATTAGCAAATAAGAAAGAACTGTATGTACTTCTAGAGGCCTTCCAGATCATCCCTTTTCTCCCTCTACTCTATCATATTCCATCCTATGAGTGTTTTGTTGTTTTTTTTTTGTAGAATAAATGAACAGTTCACTTAAGCTCATTCAAGGCAACTTCATAAACAGGAGGACGTGCCCCTACCCACCTCACCATTGGTTTCTACTGCTTCTTGGACTCTTCAAGATCCTTCTAGTCCTCACCCAAAGTTTGTGCATACTGATGTATGCTTCATTATCTGCTGATTTGCCTCCTGTTGGAAATAACTGTTATGAGAACAAACCTGCTTTAAGAGAAGTCGGATGATGCTTTAAAGCTCTTCATACCTTAGTCAGAGTGATGGCAACAAAAAAAAAAAATTACGATGCGTACTTTTCCATTGCAGTGCAGGAGTCTGAAGGCAGCAGGCAGAACATCTCAAAAGCCTCAACTCTCTCGTAACATAGAGCAATCCTACATGATCTCAAGGGACATGGACCTGGCTAAGAGCAAAGTGAACTTCAGAAGAGTGTACTTCCACCTGTTCGAAGAATTAGTGGATGAGATCCCATGGGACACAGTCCTTAGGGACAGAGGATCCGATCAGAGCTGGCAACTCTTTAAGGATATTTGCCTTAGAGCACAAGAGCTCTCTATTCCCATACACAATAAATCAAGCAGGGAAGGTAGGAAACCAGCATGGTTGAACAAGGACCTTCTAGTCAAACCTAGGCAAAAGAAGGAAATGCACAGATGGTGGAAACAAGGCCATGTGCCCTGGGAAGAGTACAGAAATACTGTCTGGATGTGCAGGGATGGGAAATGGATGGATGTCTGGATGGGGTCAGGAAAGCCAATGCACTGACAGAGGTAAACTTGGCAAGGGATGCAAAGAATAGCAAAAAGGGGTTCTACAGGTACATTGGACACAAAAAAAAAAAAAAAAAAAAAAGACTAAGGAGAGTGTTGCCTCTGACAAAAGACGACAGTGAACTGGTAACAACAGATGCGGAGAAGGCTGAGATACTGAACAACTTTTTTGCCTCAGTCTTCACTAGCGGTCAGGCTTCCCATGCCCCTTGCGTCCCCAAACCTCTACGCGGGGGACAAGAGAGCAAAGTCCCTCCCACTGTAAGTAAAGAGCAAATTCAGGACCTCCTGATGCAATATGAATAAGTTCTGGGGAGAATCAATCCTTTATATTTTTCAAGTGCTAAATAATCAGGTACTGGAGCTGATACCATTGATAGTACAAGTCTTATATTGTCAGGGCAAGTAGCAAACACTGTGTGTCAGCTATCAAGTAATCATATGTAATTAGCTGCTCCAAGCCAAGATCGCAGAACAGATCTTCCTGGAGGCA